GGCCTTTGGAATGTGTTGCCTTCGGATGTTGTAGAGGCAGTAAAAGTAACTGAGTTTAAGAAAAGGCTTGATCAGTATATGAATGTTAAGGGCTGGCTTTAAGATTTTTCAAAATTATTTTAATTTAGTTTTGAGGATGGAACAGCCCAGGTGGACCAATAGGTCCCATGTTGTCCCAAAATGTTATGTTTGAGCGGCTATTCATCATGGTGGGAAACTGGTCTTCATATCTCCCAGGGAAACGTCAATGGAACCTCCTACAGGCATCACACGGAGATGATATTTTTGCCATATGCTAGAACAAGGTTTGGCAATAACTTTGTGTTCCAGAATGACAATGCCACTGCACACATTTCGCATATTGTACAGGACTATCTCGACCAGGAGGATGTTACAAGATTTCTATGACTAGCAAAGTCTCCAGATTGTAATTCCATTCAGAACTGTTGGGCAGAACTGGGCTGGAAAAATGCTAATCACAACCCTAAAGTAGCTACTGTAGCGGAGTTGCAGCGCCTTCTATTAAAAATTTGGGATGACATCACGGTGGATTACATCAATAACCTCATCGACATCATGCTACGTCGCCTTGTGGAGGTTATTAGAGTACGAGGAGGACAAATCAATTACTGAATGTTTGATATGAATTTGATATAGGTTTGTTGGTTTGAAGTTAAGCACAAAGCTACACAATGGGCTATCTGTGCTCTGATCACCACGGGTATCGAAACTCAGTTTCTGGCGTTGTAAGTCTGCGAACATACTGCTGTGCCACTGGGAAGCTGATATAAGATTACAGACGCTATTTATAATAATTTCAAGTTATATTTTATCATTATATATATGCTTAAGCAAGGTTTTGTTGTGATAGGTGAAATGCTGAATAACGCATCTTTCTACAGGCGTCTGAAAAAAATTGTTTGCTTTTCTAATAAATCGTTCATGATGTCCATAGTACCTTTCTCATTGTAAAAATTACATATGTAGATGTTTAATATAACATGCATTTCTCAGTTTGACAGCGCTACTTAATAATAATGATCTTATTTGTTACAAAATATGCAAACATTTTGGCCAAGACTATATTTAGACCCATAATAAAACAAGCACAATAAAAAACATTACATACTTGAATTCGCAGACTGATTGACTACTTTCTAAACGTAAAACGTAGCATTAATCTTATCTTTTGTGCTTTCTATAATGGTACAGGAGGATTCCATTCACGGAGTTTTTGAAAGAAACATCAATCGAATTATCTGGAAAGAAACACGGCTCTTTCAATCTTTTCATTCAACAGAACTTACTTGCGACGGACGATGACATCAGTTATGTGCTGAGTAAGGATCAGTTTAACGAAATAAATGCATTAAGATGTTTAAAGTATAACAGCAGATTCGCTTGCCCCTAAAAACTTGCTCCTTAATGGTCATTCTCGACTTTGTCTCGCCCTGCTGCCATTACTGCGTAAGTTTTTGTTTCTTGACCATACTTAATTAAAATGTTAGCTAAACACCATATGCGACTGTTATCATTTAAAAAAAGTCAAGGACAACTGAAGCTTTGGTATTAGACAATAAAGACTAAAAAGGACAAAAGTAAACCCAGTTTTTAAGCGTATTATACAGCTGATGTTTTCAATGCAACAAAGATTAAAATGTATGCAGTTCACACAGGAATGGATTTCGGGTCGTTACTAAAGTCTTTGAAGGAACCAAATCGCAAACTAAGAACTTATCAGAGACAAATAGTGTAACACCCAATGGGATATCTGTACTCTGCCCACCATGTGTATAGAAACCCGGATTATACGGTTGTAAGTTCGCAGACATACCGCTGTGCCACTAAGGGGGGGGGGGGCGGCCGTAAGTCCGTAAACCTACTTCTGACCTACCAAAGAAGAACTATTTTGTAACTAGTATTATCTTTTGAATAATATTAAAATACTCTATTTATTCTCATTCCTTGTTTAATGTACTTTTAATTCTTAGGATATTCATTGTTTTTAAGACATCCCGAATTATTTTTACAATTCCTTTAATAGTGGCCAATGTAAAGAATAATATTTTTATTTAACTTATTAGGCCCGGCATGGCCAGGTGGGTAGGGCACTCGACTCGGAATCTGTGAGTCGCGAGTTCGAATCCCCGTCCCACCAAACATGCTCGCCCTTTCAGTCATGGGGGTGTTATAATGTGACAGTCAATCCCACTATTCGTTGGTAAAAGAGTAGCCCAAGAGTTGGCGGTGGGTGGTGATGACTAGCTGCCTTCCCTCTAGTCTTACACTGCAAAATTAGGGACGGCTAGCGCGGATAGCCCTCGTGTAGCTTTGCGCGAAATTCAAAACAAACAAACAAATTTAACTTATTCTGAAAAAATATGTACAAGCAAGATTAAATTATGCTTTGTAGCTTTGTGCTTAATTACAAAGAAACAAACAAATTACGGCGCTAAAATCTGAAGTTATATTACTCGCGATGGACAGAGTTAGTCTAGTGAAATAGCCCATTTTGGAGATTTGCACTATGAAAAGAACATCGATATCAACTCGCAAAATGAAAAAATATGTAAGGTTTTCTTATTCGTTTCTGATGAAATTGATTCAGTGCTCTATTTATTTCACACACTCTCTGTCAGAATGGTCGCTCAAAGTCGCACAATAGCTATCTTTCCTTAGCCATCCTTAATTTTCACCTGATAGATAGGAATGAAGCTTGTCAACAGTACCCACAGCCAACTCTTTGGCCGCTCTTGTCTGATAGAGTGATAGGTCTTTCCTATAGCACAGCCACAGGACCAAAGGGTGAAGCACATTTATGCATCGGGTCGCAAACCATAAATCTTCGAATTCACACTTCACGAACGCTAACCATTAAACCATACTGAACTTATTTCATATAAAGTCTGCAAGATGCCGTAGACAGTAATACTGTACATAAAACACCTAAAATATGTGTAAATGACACTAATCAGAAGCATACATATAACATTAGTCCTATAACCTTTTCTACCCAGTGTACTGTATCCAGAATCATGAAACGCCATAGGAGTACAGGAAACTTTGTTTCAGGAACGTTTACTGGTAGACGCCGTAAACTACTGGCCAAGATGACCGTGTTTTGATTGGGTTAATGCATCAAGATCGAAAGAAGTCTCGCAACCCCTTATGACAGGAATGATATGAACACATTCATTCCAGGGTGTCCAGAAGAACAGTGAATGGAAGAGTGACCAAACAATGTTATTTTGAAAGAAAGGCTATCTGTAAACCAATATTAACCAGAATTTACTGTTGTCACCGTGTTACATGGGTAAGACAACATGCCAACTCACAGTTAGAACACTGACAACAGTCAGATGAGCCCTGTTTCCGGCTTGTTAAAGCTGATGGTAGGATTCGTATTCGTCGTTTGCCTGAAGAACAGATGAGGAAACACATAGGATGTGGTGCAGTAAATGTTTCGGCAGCTATTAATTATGGTGGAAAAACTGCTCTTCATATCTCCCAGGGAAACGTCAATGGTGCCTCCTATAGGCATCATAAGGAGACGATATTTCTGCCATATGCTAGAACAAAGTTTGGCAATAACTTTGTGTCCCAGAATGACATTGTT